TCGCCCCCAGCCGGCCCCCCCCAGGGCCGGGCCCCCCCCTGCCATGTTGAGCTCGGTGAGAGAGTTGCGCGTGGAGGAGCCCATGGCCGTGAGGAGATTGGCCGACTGGTCCGTAAGGTGGTTGCAGTGGCTGAGGTCGAGGCGGGAGAGCAGGGGCATGTGGCGGATGATGAGCCGCAGCGTGGCGTCCGTGATGTCCAGCCCGGCGAGCCGGAAATCGATCATGTTCCGGAGCTTGCTGCGATTGTCCTGACCTGCAAAGGCAGAGGAGAAGCTGAGCATGGACCATCCACCCGGCCGCACTGGGGTATTCCGGCTCTAGCATCGCCTCCGTGCTCTGGGCCCCCAGCATGTCACTCTCCCCCAGCTCCCCACAGCCACAGGGACCCTCCTCATTCAGCACCACCAGCAACAGCTTACTGGGTTTGTCTGTTGGAGGCGTGAGTAGATCCCGGATCTGAGGGTCCTTGATTCCTACTGCCCACCGAAGATCGAGGGTCCTGAGAAGGGGGCAGCTGGAGGTACTGAGAGCACAGACCGCAGACCAGGAACAGCCCGCTAGGATGAGGTCTTTCAGGCCTGACGGGAGAAGGGAGAGAGGGAACATGTCAGACAGGCTTGGTTAGCTCTGTCGCATCCCAGATCTCATTCCTTTGTTTTCCAAGCACAGGAAGAAGCAGCTCCTCTCCCTGCCTGGGGTGGGCTGGGGAGCTGGCTCTCTGATGGGGAGCAGCAGGAAACCACATTGCTATCAGCTGCTTCTTAGGCGATGGGATGCAGGCAGCCGGGTGTTCTCCAGCTGATGAGGGTACCAGGGTGTCTCCCGCTGTGCTCCAGCCATCAGGAAGCCTGGGAGCAGGCTGAGGGCAGGGATAGGGACCCCATCCCATCCCACCCTCACCTGGGAGCCTGTTGACGAGCCACGTGAGCTGCTTTTTGGAGATATTGGTCCAGCTGAGGTCGAGGCTGACGGGCTGTCGTTTGATGATGCCGCTCAGTGCCTGCGGGGTGATGGACTTGCACCGGCTCAAATCGATCTTTGTCCACAATCTCTTGTCACAGCACCTGGGGGACAAGGACAAGGTGAGCCCCGGGGGACAAGAGATGACAGCCAGTGGGTTGCCCACCTTCAGGGAGGAGGAGCCCAGCCCCTGTGTGGCCTCAGATGCAGAATAAAGCTGCTCTGTCTGGCCTCCCCCAAGACATGAGGAGGGTGCTGAGGGTGTCCAGCCACAGAGAGACACCCAAAACAACTCAAGCAGGGTTTTGCTGCTACATAACAAAGACTGGGAGTTGCAGCTCTGCCTGTTTGCCCCCTCCTGGGTGCTCCTCCTGCCAGGGCAAAGATCTTAAGCATCCTTGCTCCCAACAGACGAAACACTCAGCCTGGTTCCACCCCATGGCTTTGACAGTGCTTTGCTGCTGTGCCAGGAACTGCAACAGAGCCTGGAGGTGGTTTCTTCTCCCATAGGAACTTGGGGAGACCCAGGAATTGATGGCAGCTCGGCTGTGCTTCTGAAGGTGCCACATCAGTGAGAGGAGAGAGGATGCTCTCCTCCATCCACCACACACCACC